CTCCCCTGCCTGCTCAATGTTTTGGGCTGCTCTGTCTGGCCTTTGATTGGCGCCTCTGTGTAAAGAGGTGAATCTCTGACAGACAAGCGCCTCTGCAGGGAGGCGGGGAATGGGGTGTCGGATTACATCGACAAGGCTGCTGCCTCTGTGTTCCTGCCTGTGCGTGTGTGTTCCTGTGTTTTTGTGTGTGTGTGTGTTTGAGTCAAGGGTAGGAGAGTGGGGCGGATCTGAGCTCATCAAGGTGCATTAGTGCATGCATGACCAATTCGACCACTCTTTTATTTTTGATCCTTTTCTCTCTCGCACTCTCTCCCCACTGCTCAAACTCTCTCTCTCTCTCGCACTCTATTTTGCTTTTTCTCTTTCTCTGTATTTGTGTCCCTCTTCCGCTCTCTCTTTCTCTCTCGCCCTCTATTTTGCTCTCTCCCTTCTGTATTCTTCTCTCTCTCTTACTCTGTCTCTGTCTCTCTCTGTCACTCTCTCTCTCTCTCTCTCTCTCTCTCTCCCTCTCTCTCTCCCCTGCTCTCCCCCTTAGTGTCTGAGCTCTTGTGATTTACGGTAATTATCCATCGTTGGGGTCATCTATCAGGCTCGCCGTTGCTAGGCGATGGAGACAGCTGCGGCTGGCTGGGCCGTTTTCTGGGCTGCACTGTTGTCTTGTAGAGGGGATGGGGGTGGAGGACAGGGGGAGGGGGCATGCTCAGGTGAAGTTGGGCTGGCTCGATTTTCGGGGCTGGGCCTGACACAGAGATTTAAAGTCACAGGTGCCTTAGAGAGAGAGAGAGAGAGAGAGAGGGAGAGAGAGAGAGAGAAGGGGTATATATGTTGAAAGGGGGCAGGTGGAATTCGAGGGAAGTGTTTGAGGGGTAGGGAGGGACGTGGGGGGCAGCTTAAAAGGCACAGGTGACTAGTGTGCGTGAGTGTGTGTGTGTGTGTGTGGGGGGGGGGGGGGGGCATTTAAAAAAGGGATTTATGAGGGCAGATGGACATTTGATTTGATCTTGGGGCCTTGCAAAAGCACGGATGTTTTAGGGGCCGTGAAAATTAGGGTGGAGGGAGACAGAAAGGATTTTATAACTGTTGGCAGGTGTGACTAGGAGCCTTATGGCTGTTTGGGCCTGTGAGTTGTGTTTCTTAGCCCTCAACCCTTATATTATTTCAATGACTCATTATGCAAATAGGAAGGTACATAGACTGGGTTAACTGTGACTGGACCGTTGAACTTTTCACAAAGTGGTAACTACATTATGACGTTGTTATTAGTGACATCAGGTCTGGAGACTGGCTAGGCCACTCCAGGACCTTGAGATGCTTCTTACGGAGCCACTCCTTAGTTGCCCTGGCTGTGTGTTTCGGGTCGTTGTCATGCTGGAAGACCCAGCCACGACCCATCTTCAATGCTCTTACTGAGGGAAGGAGGTTGTTGGCCAAGATCTCGCGATACATGGCCCCATCCATCCTCCCCTCAATACGGTGCAGTCATCCTGTCCCCTTTGCAGAAAAGCATCCCCAAAGAATGATGTTTCCACCTCCATGCTTCACGGTTGGGATGGTGTTCTTGGGGTTGTACTCATCCTTCTTCTTCCTCCAAACACGGCGAGTGGAGTTTAGACCAAAAAGCTCTATTTATGTCTCATCAGACCACATGACCTTCTCCCATTCCTCCTCTGGATCATCCAGATGGTCATTGGCAAACTTCAGATGGGCCTGGACATGCGCTGGCTTGAGCAGGGGGACCTTGCGTGCGCTGCAGGATTTTAATCCATGACGGCATAGTGTGTTACTAATGGTTTTCTTTGAGACTGTGGTCCCAGCTCTCTTCAGGTCATTGACCAGGTCCTGCCGTTTGGTTCTGGGCTGATCCCTCACCTTCCTCATGATCATTGAAGCCCCACGAGGTGTGGTCCTCTGTAGCTCAGCTGGTAGAGCACGGCGCTTGTAACGCCAAGGTAATGGGTTCGATCCCCGGGACCACCCATACACAAAAATGTATGCACGCATGACTGTAAGTCACTTTGGATAAAAGCGTCTGCTAAATGGCATATTATTATTATTATTATTATTATCTTGCATGGAGCCCCAGACCGAGGATGATTGACCGTCATCTTGAACTTCTTCCATTTTCTAATAATTGCGGCAACAGTTGTTGCCTTCTCACCAAGCTGCTTGCCTATTGTCCTGTAGCCCATCCCAGCCTTGTGCAGGTCTACAATTTTATCCCTGATGTCCTTACACAGCTCTCTGGTCTTGGCCATTGTGGAGAGGTTGGACTTGTATTAGTTTGACACATAGATGGGGTCACTTTACCAAAACAGCACACACACACACACAACCCTACCCTCTCCACCCCTCCCTTTACCCAGAACTAATTACAAGCGTTTAGTGTTTGTCATTATGTTGTGGGGTGGAAGATTAAGAACACCTCTCTGTTAATTTGTAATCAACTGTTTGTTAATTAACTAACCTGTTGTAAGTAGCCTTAAGGGCCCTTGTGTAATTAGCTAAGCTGCTGGAAGCGGCGAGTGTGTGTTGACATTGACCTGACGCGTCCACTCGACCGTCCCAGCCACTGTCATGTCTGTCCCCCTGTCGTCTGTTGTCACGGTCACCCTGGACAAGGGGGTGGCTCCAATCAATTGATTATACCCTCAGCCCATTGTGTTTGTTCAGGAAACACACACACATAATGCACACACTGGCTTGTAACACACACACACACAACACACACCAGGCATGTACGGGCACACACACACACACACACATACACACTCTTTTGAACATTACATTTTCATATAAAACATATAAAACAACATCCCACCTAAATGAACAGCATCTGTGTTGGAGCAGTTTTAACTCCTCCTAAATCAACAGTATCTGTGTTGGGTTTTAACTCCTCATCCTAAATGAACAGCATCTGTGTTGGGTTTTAACTCCTCATCCTAAATGAACAGCATCTGTGTTGGGTTTTAACTCCTCATCCTAAATGAACAGCATCTGTGTTGGGTTTTAACTCCTCATCCTAAATGAACAGCATCTGTGTTGGGTTTTAACTCCTCATCCTAAATGAACAGCATTTGTGTTGGGTTTTAACTCCTCATCCTAAATGAACAGCATCTGTGTTGGGTTTTAACTCCTCATCCTAAATGAACAGCATCTGTGTTGGGTTTTAACTCCTCATCCTAAATGAACAGCATCTGTGTTGGGTTTTAACTCCTCATCCTAAATGAACAGCATCTGTGTTGGGTTTTAACTCCTCACTTCAAAGGCACTTGTTTACTCTCCTGCCTCCCGTCATTGTCTCTGGTAATTAAACGGACGCGTTGAAATTTATGGTTTAATTATACAGAGCTTGTTATGCAGAGGAGACGACGGGGATGAGCTGATATGCCCAATAAAAATAAATACATTCCATATTGTTTTATTGAACCTCTGTGTGCGTGCATCGCTTTAGTTCAGCTGCTCAGGTTTGTTTGTGTGTGTGTTTGAATGTGTGTGTGTGTGTGTTTGAATGTGTGTGTGTGTGTGTGTGTGTGTATGTACTATACGTGCATGTGAACACACACACATGTTTTGGCCCTCTCCTAACAAGCTAGTAACATGCTCAGTGTGTGTGGGTGAGAATGAAAATAAAAAAGTGAGATGAATTGCGATCGATCCGTGCTGGTTCACTCTATTGATCCCGTGGCACATTCAACCCAGCTGTACTCCGCCAAGTGCATTCACTCAACTCTTCCACTCAAAACATCCCCTAGTTTTTACATCCCCCTCTTTACAGTCAGGCAGGAGAACCAACAAACATCTTGCTAAATAAATATGTGGGTGTGTGTGTGGGTTAGTGTACAAGATGGTGGTCTGGTGCAGAAATTATGTCTGTGTGTGTGTGTGTGTGTGTGTGTGTGGTGCTTCTGTTTTATTTATAGAGCCAGGTCTATTAATACCCAACTCAAAGATCAGTTCAGAGAAACAAGCCAAGAACACACACACACACACACACACACATACACACACACACCTCTTGTATCTACACACACATACTGTACATGTACACCTCACACCTCCCCTTCCTCTCTTTCAATATGTCTAAACCTATACACAGAACAGTGCTACCTGTCTGCCAGGTAGTCGTTTTTTTCTCTATGTCCTATAGATTTGTCATGTAAGAGCTGTTACGGCACAACACTGCAGTGTCCAGTGTGTGCATTTCCCATCATAATCTCACATTTTCATCTCAAGAATAATAATTGTATTTTGTGCTGTAGTGAAGTCACTAAGATATGGTACTACTGTATAAACACAGAAGGGAATAGAACAATCCGGAAGAAATTCTGTTGACATGACTTCATCGCCTCACTCTTCACCCTTGGCTAACACTTAAGCTAACAAAAATATTAAAGGTTATGAGGCCACATTACAGTAACTGTAACTATGCCTTGCGAGTTGTGTATACATCAGCTGTCAACCCACCCCCACCAACCTTGTGGGGACACACAATTGATTCCCGTTCAAAATCCTATTTTCACTAACCCATAACCTTAACCCTAACCTTAACCTCAAAATCCTAAACCTAACCCTAACTCCTAACCCTAAACCTTTAACCCCTAACCCTAATTCTAACAACTTAAATGCGGAAGACACATTTCAGTTGAATGCATTCAGTTGTGCAACTGACTAGGTATCCCCCTTTCCCTAACCCTAACACTAATTCTAACCCAACCCTAAATCCCTTAGAAATATACTTTTTTCATGTGGGGACTGGCAAAATGTCCCCAGTTGGTCAAATGTAGGTTTGTTTACTGTTCTTGTGGGGACTTCTGTTCCCCACAAGTACAGTTAAACATGTCCACACACACACGCGCTCCGGCTCTGTCTACAGGAATAGTGTGTGTGGCCCCGCTCCACTCTGCTCCGGCCTGAAGTTTTCTCAAATGAGTGGAGATAAATTGGTACGGTGAGCTGGAATGGCACAGCAGTTATTTAAGGCTCTGTAGGTGCTTGGCCATATGTTCTATTCTTCCACTCGGGAGGGGCTGACGTCAGCGGTTGGACCAGTGTGGAGGAGGACAAGAGAGACAGAGAAGCGCGGGAGGGAGGATAGGGGAGGAAGAGGGAAGGAGGAGGAGGAGTTGGAAAGAGGTGGGGGTGGCAGTGGAGGGGATTTATTTTAGGAGAACCTATATCACTCACATCTCCAGACTAGATGTTAGGACTTAGGAAGACGATGCAAGGGAAACAAATCATGTATTGCAGAAATTGATAGTTATCCTATAGCTTTTGATTTCCATATATTTTACAAATACTTTTTTACCTTTAAGTTTTAGGTAAGATGGTCCCTCCAGTGGTGCTAAACTCCACAGACACTTACAGTAGATATCCATTATTTCTTACACATCTACATGTAGCCTTCTCTATACGGTCCTGTATACAACTAACTGTATCATGTAGGGTGGGGAGTGGAGGGTTCCAGGCCCAGATGCCTGCCTGCTGTTGTGTACCTTTGTGCCTACACTCTTAGAAAAAAAGGTGCTATCTAGAACCTAAAAGGGTTCTTCAGCTGTCCCCATAGGAGAACCCTTTGAAGAACCTTTTTGGTTCCAGGAAGAACCCTTTTGGTTCCATGTAGAACCCTATTGGGTTCCATGTAGAACCCTTTCCCCAGAGGATGCTACATGGAACCCAAAATAGTTCTACCTGGAACCAAAAAGGGGTCTACCTGGAACCAAAAAGGGGTCTACCTGGAACCAAAAAGGGTTATCCTATGGGGACAGCCAAATAACCCTTTTGGAACCCTTTTTTTCTAAGAGTGTACCGTCAGGGGAGGGAGGGGAGGGCCTCGGTGAGCAGACCGACATGCAGGCAGGCCACTGCTCTCTCACGTTAGCCGCTCCAGAGGAATCCACAACCCAGCATGCTCTCTGTCTGCTCTCCCTCTCTCTGACACGGCAGGCCGGCAGCAGACATTACCATAATTGGGTTTTCTACATGACAGGACAGAATAAATAATAATGTCATTTTATTTACAACCCCCCTCGTCCCGGTCCGAGAAGCTATCACCCCCACCCCTCCTCCTCATCCCCTTCACATCACCCCCACCTCCCCCCCCTCCTCCTCCTCTCTATCTCATCCCTCTCTCTCTCTGGCTGGCGCGAGTCGTCTCGTCGGGCTGCCACGCCGCGCAGGTCAAGCGATGGCTTTTTGATCAGCTCCTGTCCAAAGCCATCAGGGCTGAGAGGACTGTAATGGAGGAGTGGGGTGACAAACAGAATGTAGGGGAAGGAATAAGACTGCCAGTTTCCCATTAGAGCATGGGCTAAATGGCCCCTGGCCCCCACCTCCCTCCCAGCTCCCCATACCCCCACTAGCCCACTCCAACACCAGCCTAAATCATATGAGTGAAGGGGGCCAGGATTGGACATTAGTGGCGCAAATGACTGCAGTGATTGCACCCCTCTTCCCAAAATCACATCAGATAAATAGAGAAATGTGTGTAAGTAAATAGGAGGGGTGTTGGGGACTGGAGAGGGGGTCGGATGGCGGAGGAACTGACTGGTCTCGTCCCCCGTTCTCTCCCTCCCTCTCGCTCCCTCTCTCGTTTCATCACCTTTCTGCTTTTCTTATCTGTTTTGTTTGGGTTTGACAGCAGCCAAATGGTGAGGCACCGCCGGCCTGACAGAGAGTTTTATTGATTTAACAACTAGCAGATTTCGGCAAAGACAACTAAAACACAAAATGGAAGGGCCAGACCGAGATGCCAAAGTTTGAGAAGAAATTATAGGACGCTGAGCCTACTCTGCTAAAACACAGATATGCATGTGATTACATTTGATTTGTTATTATTCCCCAAATCAAATTAAACAGAATAGTGTGTGTCACCTCCAGCCTTAACATTATTTTGAGACAGTACAGAGTGAAAAGGAACACAGTCATCCTAGACTCATTAATCATAACACTGTCTAAACCCCTGTGTCTCTGTCTGTCTGTCTCTCTGTCTGTCTATCCACTCTCCAACAAGACTACACACATCTGGAAACTCCCTAATGTGAGACGAAACTAGGGTTGACTTGTTTGGTAACAGTTAAAGCTTCCCTGTTACAAGTCCACAGACACGCAGTTGCCATGTTACTGATAGTGCTATTGATACTGTAGTTTCGTTGCTCATAATATAGATGAACTATCCACTAACCACTTTCTTCAAAACAATGTAGATCTTCCGTGGTGTTAATGATGTTTAGTGTGTGTGTGTGGGGGGTGCCCAGAAATGGAGTGGCGTTTAGTGTGTGTGTTGCGGTGACATGGTGTGGCTTGATCCCGGCCGTTTGTGACAGCACAGGCCTCGGACACATCCTGGCCGCAGCACCACCTGTCCCCTTGATGGCGAGGCGTCCCGCAGCAGAAGTGACAGGCGCCTTTACGCCCGTGCAGATGGCCCTGCTCACAGCCATCACCCGCTCGGCAAGCTAAACCACCGGGGACGGCACGCCAAACCCCTCCCCTCGCTCCCGTCTCTCCTCATATGTGTGTCTAGGTCTAGGACACATTGAGGAGGCGTGATTTGGTCACCAGTCGGATTTTGAGTCGTTGTGTTCGATCGGCTTTCATGAATGGCTGAACTGATAAAGCTGTTCTATTTATGTTTAGTTTTTTAAAATGTGTTGGCGTTGTTATCTGCTTGCGATTTAATCACTGTGTCAAAATATGTAGATTTTATGTTTTGTAATTCTCTACCTAGGCCTAATTTTTAGATATGGTTTCATCATAAGATCCCATATTCATGGTTTCTGAAGCCTTCCACTTTCCAACCTGTGATTTTACAGATGTTTTATGCCGTTCTTTTGTCTGCAGGCTTTGATTTCCCTCTCTTTGTTGTTTCCATGACAACATGAGGGGATAAGCATTGATTGACAGCTATCGTAAAAGGGTTTCCTTCACGTCTTGTCGTTCACCATTCCCTGCCCCTCCCCTCCCTGCCTCGGCCTGTATTTTGTCATTCACTCACAGATATTTTTCTTCCGTTCCATTCTCCCTTTCATTCCGTAGATTTGTGGAGCTGCCAAAATGCCGTTTTTGGCACCGATGATGTGGACATAGTTATTCACATGGGTAATTCACATGGGTTCACTGGAACCAATCAGAGGCTAGTGATGACTGAATAGCCATTTTACTGTATGATTTCATAGTCCTCTTTCTTTTCAAGCACAGGTTGGCCGTTGGTGAGGGGAAGGCTGGCATAATAACGGGGAAACATCTTACAGTTAGAGTTTGTACAGTATATAGCTAATGCTAATCTGCTGTTTTAGGGATTTTCTGAGTTTTAGGAACTGTCTCAGCTTCTGTCTGTCAGTGGGATTGAAACACAGCCAGGTTCTCCTGTGCTGCGCTCGTTTCCCTCCAAATCCTGTCAGGAATCAAGAGAATGAGGAGAATACAGTATGTGGCTCGTTTTGGAGAGAAGGGCATATCAGTTACAGACAAAAAATACAAACCTATAGACAACGTTAGGGCCTTTTATGTCGAAAGCTACCGTGTTAAAACAAACATGTATGAGAACATGCGAATAGCATACACCAATGCGGGCACACACACACAAACACACACACACTTCTGTATGCAGCTGCTCGCCTTTTTTCCCTCCCATCTCCTCTCAGGCAGCAGTAAATGGTGCCAGTGTACATATATCAGGTATTATGTCCACTTAGATTATGATATGACAGGTTAGCGTGCTGTTTGAAGCTGACAGCACATCTGTTTCATCAGGAGAGACTGTTACTGGCATCTAGGACACACATCTCACCATGGAGGAAGGAGATAAAGGGAGAACTGAGGGGGCCGTCTTTTCTGTCTCCCTCCCTCGCTTCGTGTCTCTCCCTTCCCTCCACCTCTTTTTACTCTCTCTTTCTCTCCCCACACCTCTCCCTGGCTCTCTTGCTCGCCAGCTCTCCCCTGCTTCCTGTCTCTCCTATGTTTCTACTTGCTCGCAATATTTCCCTTACTCTTTCCCTTACTCTCTCTCCCTTGCTCTCTCTCTCTCTCGTACCTGTTACATTATGTTTACATTTTTTCTCCACTTGGTCTATCCTGTGCATTCTTTAATTTCATCCCCTGTGTTTTTTTATGATTATTTGTTTACACACTGTATGTGTCAAGGACAATAATACAGAACACCATGTATTGTATGACCCATATCCACTTCCACCTCTCATTAAGCTGTCAAACATAACAGAGAAAGTCAAGGAGTGTCACTCCCCTATTTGACATTGTAGAGATGACTTGACAGTTCTAGTTTTTTATTACTGTCTGGTATTTAATATAATTGTATTTATTAACTCAGTGAGAGTGGCCTTTGGTACATGAGTGTGGGTGAAGGAGATGCTGCAACATCTCAGAATGAGTGTTTTGTTTCCCTCCCTCCTGATCGGTTGCGTAAGCTCACCATGTGAATTACTAAATAAAATGAAGTTCACTGTGTGTGTGTAAATGATTGGGTGTAGAGATAAGCCATGGGGGAGAAGGAGAGGAGGAGAGTCAAGCAGCTGGCTAACAAGGCCAAGCAGTTAGTGATATCCTAGGAAACAGGAGGCATGGACAATGAAATAGGGAGTAAAGAAGGAAAATGTCAGGATTTATGTGTCTTTTTTTTCTCTAGGAAACTAGATTTTTTCACCACTGACACTCAAAGACGCACGCACGCACACAGATAAAAGCCCATATTTCCTGCCACAGATTATTCATCACAATGTTTTGTCAGTGGTCCTGTTAGTGCATTGTAAATCTTTTATTTCACTTTGCTGACCTCCTTTTTCCCTTTTCTCTATCTCTCTCTCTTCCAGCTTACTCACCAGAGGACGAGTTTAAGGCAGGAGCAGTCGATGAGGAACACCTGCAGGATGACGGGCTGTCACTGAATGGGGAGGACACTGCGTACCTTTGCAATGAGGAAGAGGATGGAGGCCAGCCGCCCAGCTACCGGGCCTCTCCGCTCAGCAACGGCACCAACCCAGACGCTGGCTACGGCTCCCCGCTCAGCGATGCCAGCGACCGGCTCACAGACTTCAAGAGCACCTCCTCCAGGGATGGCCATGAGAGGGAGGAAGCCCCCCTCCCCTCTGGCCCGAACAATGGCCTCTCCCTGAGGGACAGCCTGGCTCAGATGAAAGCTGTCTATGCAAACCTGATCTCAGATGCCTCCTGGTCCAGCATTGCCATGGACATCATGAAAGCCACGCCGGCTACTGCTGGCGCCATCCCCACCGCCACCAACCCCACCACTACCACCACACACAACAACAACCACAGTGAGAACAGCAACGTTAGCAGCCACCACCACAATGGGAGAAGAAGTACCGCCACCGCCAACCACCACACAAGCAGTGGCAGTGGCAGCTCTAATGGCACCGCAGCTACCTCCATCAGTAGCAACAGTGGCACCAGCAGTGGCGGTGGTGGCAGCTGTGGTGGTGGTGCTAGTAACGGTGGGGCTGTGGCCTATGACTGGCACCAGGCAGCCTTGGCTAAGACCCTCCAGCATACCCCTTACCAACTGCTGCCTGAGCCCAGCCTGTTCAGCACGGTGCAGCTCTACCGCCAGAACAACAAGCTCTATGGCTCAGTCTTCACCGGCGCCAGCAAGTTCCGCTGCAAAGACTGCAGCGGCGCCTACGACACGCTGGTGGGGCTCACGGTCCACATGAACGAGTCGGGCCACTACCGCGACGACAACAAGGACAGGGAGGAAGAGAGGGGCAAGCGCTGGTCCAAGCCCCGCAAGCGCTCCCTGATGGAGATGGAGGGCAAAGAGGACGCTCAGAAGGTGCTCAAGTGCATGTACTGCGGCCACTCCTTTGAGTCTCTGCAGGACCTGAGCGTCCACATGATCAAGACCAAGCATTACCAGAAAGTGCCTCTCAAAGAACCGGTGCCAGCCCTGGCCACTAAACTGATGCCCTCTGCCAAAAAACGAGCCCTCCAGGACGCCCTGGTATCCCCATGCTCCCCAGACTCTGTCCATGGTAGCGGTGGCCACATGCCCCAAGTGGACGTTGGGAAAGACCCCAAGTCCACGACAAACCCCTATGTCACACCCAACAACCGCTACGGCTATCAGAACGGTGCCAGCTACACTTGGCAGTTCGAGGCTCGCAAGGCCCAGATACTGAAGTGCATGGAGTGCGGGAGCTCCCACGATACACTGCAGCAGCTGACTGCCCACATGATGGTCACGGGCCACTTCCTCAAGGTCACTAACTCCGCCTCAAAAAAGGGCAAGCAGCTAGTGTTTGACCCAGTGGTGGAGGAGAAGATCCAATCCATCCCTCTGCCACCCACCACCACCAGGCTTCCCGTCCCCAGTGTCAAATCTCAGCTTATCTCCCCTGCACTCTCCTGCGGCTCTGATGAAAAGAGAGAACCGGAAAACGAGAGGATGGAGGCGAGCGAACCCAGGGAGAAAAAGATCAAAGAGGAGATGGAAGAGCCAGGTGAGAAGACTGAGGTGAACGCTGGGTCGTATAAGTATCTGACAGAGGAGGACCTGGAGGAGGCTCCTAAAGGAGGTTTGGACATCCTCAAGTCCCTGGAGAACACTGTGTCCAGTGCCATCAGCAAGGCCCAGACAGGCACACCTCAGTGGGGTGGTGGCTACCCCAGCATTCATGCTGCTTACCAGCTCCAAGGGCCACATGAAGCATGCAGCACTGCACTCCTCAGTCCAGAGCGTGCAGATCCAGCCGGTGTTCAACAGCGGGCTCCGCGGCCTGGTGACTCAGGACTCAGGCTCAGTGATCCACTCCCCCAGGAGCCCTGCATCTCCGCCCTCTCTCAGGAGCAACGTTACTGCCATGGAAGAGCTGGTGGAGAAGGTCACAGGGAAAGCTGTTGCTGCTGCTGTGAAGAAAGAGAAAGAGGAGAAGATGGTCAGCTTGGACCGCCACAGGCATCCATCCTCCGTCAAGTCGCCATCTCCTATACTGAAAGAGCAGAGGGACCACCACTTAGCACCCAATGACCTCACCGTCGGGAAGCCCCTCATGAGGAACAGCAGCCCTGGAAATGTGGAGTCGGAGCTGGTCTGCAAGAAGGAGCCCAAAGAGATCCTGGTAGACAACCACCACAGCCATTCAAAGAACGGCCCAGAGACTCGCCAGTCACCCATTAAACGGCACCAACAGCATGGGCATCATCACCGATCACTCACCAGAGATGCCTTTCATCAACCCCCTCAGCGCACTTCAGTCAATCATGAACACCCACCTGGGCAAGGCCTCCAAGCCCGTCAGCCCCGCGGGCGACCCACTGGCCATGCTCTACAAGATCAGCAACAGCATGATGGAGAAACCGGCCTTCAACCAGACTCAGGCCAAGCAAGCCGAGCCCATCAATCGCTACTACCAGTATGAAAGCAACGACCAGCCTATGGACCTGAGGAAGTCCAAAAACAGCAACAGCAACAACAACAGCAACAGCAGCAGCAGCACTGTCATCAACAGCAACAGCAGCATAAATGGTAACAAACCCATCACATCCAGCCTGTCTCTGTCTGACATTTCTTCACCTCTGAGAGAGAATGCTTTGATGGACATCTCAGACATGGTGAAGAACCTAACAGGCAGGCTGACGCCCAAGTCCTCCACCCCGTCATCCATCTCAGAGAAGTCGGACGCAGATGGCAGTGCGTTCGAGGATGCTCTGGAGGACCTCTCCCCGGTCCAGAAGAGGAAAGGGCGGCAGTCCAACTGGAATCCCCAGCACCTCCTCATCCTCCAGGCTCAGTTCTGCTCTAGCCTGCGGGAGTCCCCGGAGGGCCGCTACGCCATGACGGACCTCGGTCCCCCAAGAGCGGGTCCACATCTGCAAGTTCACGGGCCTCTCCATGACCACCATCTCTCACTGGCTGGCCAACGTCAAGTACCAGCTCCGGCGGACTGGCGGGACCAAGTTCCTGAAGAACATGGACTCCTGCCAGCCTGTGTTCCTCTGCGGTGACTGTGCCTCCCAGTTCAGGACTGCGTCCGCCTACATCGGCCACCTGGAGTCTCACCTGGGCTTCAGCTTGAAGGACCTGTCCAAGCTGTCCAATGAGCACCTACGGGAGCAGCAGGCTGCCTCCAAGGTGATCACAGACAAAATGACTTTTGGCAGCACCCTGGCATCCCTGACCGCGCCAGACGACGACACTGGTTCAGTTTACCAGTGCAGGCTTTGCAATCGGACATTCGTCAGCAAGCACGCGGTCAAACTGCACCTCAGCAAGACCCACGGCAAGTCACCAGAGGATCACCTGGTGTTCGTCACTGCTCTTGAGAAGCTGGAGAAGTAGTAGAGGGGACTGGAGCTGAGGGAAGAGACAGATAAACAGACAGAAAGACGGCTGTGTAACTGACCAGAATTTCATTGCACTAAAATAACATTGTTCACAGTTACTGCACTGGGCCGAACTGAGCCGCCAGAAATCAGTCTTATTTTTTGTTGTGATACTGCCTGACTGGACCATGTCTTTTTATTTTTGTTATTTTTTTGGCCAAGCTTTTTTAACACTTATTTTGTAATGTATTTATATGCTATTTGTCTGATCTGTGCATGTATTTTAGTGAACCAAGGTTAAACACAAGTTTTCTTTTATATTTTCATGACAGAAAAAACTACTACTGTTTCAATGGTGACTAAAGTGGTGACCGGAAAATGAATTAGGGGGAAAAGAAAACTGTACAATACTTGATATGAAGAAGGTGAAAATTCATTGTACACACCAAAAGAATGGAAGAACCCCTTGAAAGACTGAAGTAGCACCTTATAGACGTTTAACATTTTATTTGTAAAGAGAACATGTTTTAAGATATTCTGCATTTGTCAAAATCTGTTTAATTGGAAAGATAAATTATTTTCTTCTCTCGGTTCTTGTCACACTGCAACATATTTGATAATGAATGGCCTGCTCAGAAATCTGTCAGTGTATTATAAAAAATAAACAGATCATGTAAACATTCGGAAGTAATTGAAATGCTGCTTCCGGTTACATATCAATCAGTGAAAATGAATGGCCGTACAGTATGCAAGTTTGCTCCAAATTTTTTTTTTTTAATGTGAAGTATCACTTATAGTAATTTTCCAATTGTATGGTTTGTTACAAGTTCCTCTTTTTAAATTTTGCCGCTTTGAATTCAACCATAAAAAGAACTGTCCTTTACATGTAAATGACTCGCAGTGAAATGTCAAGCTCCATAAGGCATATCTTGCCATTTGCAACAGCTCAACATTATTTGTACTTAAAGGTGTGTGCATTCTTTAACTTTTATATAATCATTTTATATAAAAAAATAATAATAATAATAAAAAAAATGTGTGTATATAGATATATACTGTAGATCCACAAAAATGTCATTTTTTATGAAATATGAATTTAGCTTCTTTGGCTTGGTTTACAGAAATGATTTTAATTATACTTGCATCCAATTTGATGCATGATATGGTGTGAAAAAAGAATTAAGCGATGCACAATGACTATACATTTCAATGTTTTATCAATGATATTGTAAAAAAAAATATTTCTAGCACCGATTAGTTTGTTTCATTTAGTTTTTTCTCAATTGTAAAATAAATCTCAAAGCAGTTCTTGTTAACATTCATGCATTTGTGATTGTGTGTTCTTTTTGCGTGTAAGTACATAGACACAGTGAAAAGACTGGAGCTACCTTCGATAGTTCTCTGTGGTTACTATATTCTGGTGAAGAAAATAAATAACACACTTATAGGTGCTCAGATGAAATACTGTAACTACATACTCACCTTGCACAACGTTCTGTGTTTACAAGGTTATATAAGGTGCAACATTATATTATAACATATCACATAAAATGATATATTACGTGTACAGTACACACAAAATAACATTCGCTTTCTTTCTTCATTGATACACATAAAATGTCTAAAAAAACGATAAAAGTCTATTAAAAAAAACTAGTGTCATACCACGGACTGATGACTGAGCATCATCATATAATGATGATGATGATGGTGATAATAAGCCGTAAGGGTGTTTATTGTGCTGTGAGCCCCATGCTAGGCTTGTGACTGGCCTTTGGAGTGCCTGCACTGAAAGAATCAGTGTTGTCTTCATGATGGGAATGAATGTGCTTGTGCCTGTCTTCCTGGAAATGAGTCAGATGGGTGTCTGTTCCATTTGATCCAGACTGCTGACTGTCGACACTGAGCAACTCAATAAATAACACAATTAAGATGTTACGCAATGAGTATTTTGGACTGAAACTATACTATTGTATGAGTTTCTCTTGATAATGTCACACAGCCAACTCTTACAAGAGTTAATGCAATAGATCAGGGACAGAAAGATTAATCATAGTATCAACCCACTGGGCACACAGTGGTTGAATCAACGTTGTTTCCATGTAATTTAAATGAAATTACGTTGAACCAACGTGGAATAGATGTTTAATTGACATCTGTGCCCAGTGGGAAGTGACCTTTGTTTGAGCTTTGCTGTAGTTTAACAGTCTCCTCTAGCAGCTGTAGAGAAACGGCACCATCAAGAATTTGATCTCTCATCTCTCCCTCAGGTCTCAGATTTCAGACTGGGTACTAACTAGACTTTGTATCAGCAGAGAGGTACAACAGTATTATGACTTACATTCTCATGACGTGTTGTATTGGCAGAGTGTGCTCTGCCTATCACTGTCACGCACACACACACACACACACACACACACACACACACACACACACACACACACAAATAAGTAGAGTCTTTGTGAAAATTATACACCTTTTTGATCCAGCTGTACCTTAGTATGTGCTACATGGATTCGGTGACAAAGGAAACACAGAGAGTGAAGATTAGGATGCAGTTTTCCTGGAAGGGGTTTTGGGGAGTTGGGTTATAAAACAAACAGAGCAGATAAACAAGGAACACTTTGAAGAGATACCGTTCAATGCACACAATAAATAAAAAAGGAAAAACCTTGTAGGTTTGTCAGTTTAATACCTTACAGCAAAACCTGTAATTTTGCTCTGCCGTCAGATCGCTGTCTGTTGAGCAGATAGAGACTCTCTCCCTGCTTTGTTAGAGATCAGCACACTGTTTCCTGTGCATATTCTATGTAAATTACATGCGATAATCGCAGCGCAGGGCACAATGCTGGTTCCCGCGGTGCAAACGGAAACCGAGGGTAGATAAACACAGTCTGGGCAGATTTGCATAGCTTTTGTGTTTTCGGCGCGCAGAAACATGCGCCCTGAGGATTCGTAGGGATTTCCTCGAGGTTTTGTATTAGTAAATGCCGACTTCCTCCCAGGGATCAGTCCATTATGTACAGGAGCAGCAGACATAAGTGGGTGTAGAGAAGGGGCACAGACAGAATAACTAAATATTACCTGGGCTTGTAACATTATGTGGAGGTGAACATATCAACTTCTCTGCTGCTCCTACTGTAACAAAATATGAAAGAAGAACAATCGCTACAAATAAGAACCTACTGTAGCCTATATAGTATAGGGAAATGTTCCCTAAATGTAAAGGTGTATGTAACATTAGTCACTCCTGAGCTCTATCAGATCTCAAGAGTTCAAATACATGAGGAAGTGTGTGTGTTGCCATGTTTCCATATCCTGTATGACTCTGCATCTGATCCCTCACAGGAGCATTAAATCCCCTTCAAGGTGTATTATAAAACTAAGCTCTGCCTCTGGGTTTGTATTCTGCACATTGCGTACACACACACGCACACACGCACAAACACACACACGCATGCACGAACACACACACAAATGCACAAACACACACACACTCACAGGCACACACGCACACACACACACACACACACACACACACACACACCTCTATGCCTACAGTTGTATGATAAGAAAACAAGTGCCTTTTTGGTCCGTGTGTCTATAGACTGTCTTACCGGTGAATATGTTACCGGTTACCGGCAGGCAGATAGATCAGAGTTACTCCCCCTTAAACAAAGACAAGCAGCAGCAGAAGATCCCACCACCGGGCGCTTAAAGCCTTGAACTCCAACGTACTCTTTAATACCCCCTCAAAATACCACAAACCCAGCAAAACAATGCCTGACAGTATAAGCAGAACAAAACTAACACAGACAAAAGGCGACTTTGTACCACATCTGAAATGAACACGGGGACAATCTGTTTGTCTCCTGATATGAGCAGCTATTGTCAACGTTGTATTTGGTAGTTATCGACGTGTGTTTGTGTAACTAGAAAGATGGCTAAACAATTCTGTTTCCTTTTCTCAATCCATTGCCAAATTCTATGTTGATCTAACATTTGCTTCACCTGCTTCAATTTGAATACAGCGCACCACAGAAATAGTTGTACATTTCACTCTCTAGTTGAGTTTCCATGCAGAGCCATTGTTTTCTGTGCTGCTGATCAGTCTTCTGTATCATTGATTCACCCTGAACACTCTCCCTGGTGTTTCATGGTGTTGTAACTCAATGGAGTCCGTCATGTTGCAGTCACACTGCTTCCTTCAGCTGGATGTAATTGATATCTGCAGGTTGCCACTGAGGCGCCCTTGTAAAATGCCATATTAGTGTCAGAAATAGTGCAGTTGTTTTAGATGGCCGGCCAGGGGCCTTTTATCAAAGCAAGGTTATGTTGGCGTAGGAGGGAGATGTGACAAAGTTGTCTTTGCAGAATGATGGTGGCTGACACATGCAGCTATAACAGATGTTGGAGATAATCTTTGTCTGCCATGTCTTTAGTTATGATCTCTTAGCCTGCCTGGATGAGGACTGCAGGTGAGTACCGCCAAGCCCCTTCATCCATCACATACCCAGACAAAATGCTGAAGATGAAATGTTTCTCCATCTTGGGGATGAGGTATGTGGTTTTATTAAACATCCTCCCCTCCTCTAACATCTCTCCATACTGCCTGACTGCAGGTTACTTTCTCATAAGGGAAGTTGTTGTGTTGTTTTTTTATTACAGTCTTTCTCAATCGCGTATCTATAGCAGAACAGTAAATGATCAAATGCTCAAATCATTTGATCATGTTCTTGCCTTAGACAACCTTTTGCAATACTTTAAATACAAATGTAATCTGTGAATACAAAATTCACTGTTACGTGTTTTGTTCACAGAATATTTACACATTGTTTTTCATCAGAAGAGAAATGTGTGCAATTGTGTTCACTGTTTCTGGCAATCAGCAAATACTACTGCACAGAATTCTAAATCACCCCATCAGTGTCATACAGTGGTGGTCGGTGCCGTTTATTAAGATGAGGGAGGACAATCTTTTTTTTAATGAGCATGGCCTTATTTCTATTACAGCGT